GACACCAACAGTCAGGGACATACGAGGACGGGTGTCTAAGGAGACACCAACAGCCAGGGACATACGAGGACGGGTGTCTAAGGAGACACCAACAGCGAGGGACATACGAGAATGGGTGTCTAAGGAGACACCAACAGTCAGGGACATAAGAGGACGGCTGTCAAGGGAGACACCAACAGTCAGGGAAATAAGAGGACGGCTGTCAAGGAAGACACCAACAGTCAGGGACAAAAGAGGACGGCTGTCAAGGAAGACACCAACAGTCAGGGACATAAGAGGACGGCTGTCAAGGGAGACACCAACAGAAGAAAAAGTACGATAGAAAGGGATTAATAAGTCGCTTAGTGTTGCATTGCTATTTACAAGTCAGTTTCTTTTATCAATGTCTCATTACAAAAGGCAAAGAAGAAAGAAGATGATGGAAATACCAACATTTGAACAGAATCCAAACTCAAATGCAATGAAACTGGTGTAAAACAAAAGTAATATTTACACGAAGAGATAGGTGTTCTGGAAAAGTAAGTGTCTTCTTCTTCCTCCACGACAACACTCAAACCTCACAATTGCTCGCCTCGTACGTCATTCAGTTAGATACCGCAGCCTCATTCTTTCCTCACTCATGCACTGGTAAAATGGACCGAGGTTTGTCATTGGCCCATAAAACCTCGTACTTGAACTATAGGAAATTATCATATATTTGAAATTAATAAGTCCATGAAATGGCGAAGCTAGTGTATTTCTATGTCTGCTGCTAGATTTTTACATTTTTTGGCCAATTTTAATTATCTACTGTCGGCTCTTAGGTTCCAAATAATAATGAACCAATGAAATGACGTAAATTATGAATTGTGGATTTGGTATACATCCATATCTCTTTCTTATTTCGGTGAATTTTAATACTTCTAATCCGCCTCATGTACTTAATACTTCTAATCCGCCTCATGTACTTAATACTTCTAATCCGCCTCATGTACTTAATCCTTCTAATCCGCCTCATGTACTTAATACTTCTAATCCGCCTCATGTACTTAATCCTTCTAATCCGCCTCATGTACTTAATACTTCTAATCCGCCTCATGTACTTAATCCTTCTAATCCGCCTCATGTACTTAATACTTCTAATCCGCCTCATGTACTTAATCCTTCTAATCCGCCTCATGTACTTAATACTTCTAATCCGCCTCATGTACTTAATCCTTCTAATCCGCCTCATGTACTTAATACTTCTAATCCGCCTCATGTACTTAATACTTCTAATCCGCCTCATGTACTTAATACTTCTAATCCGCCTCATGTACTTAATACTTCTAATCCGCCTCATGTACTTAATACTTCTAATCCGCCTCATGTACTTAATCCTTCTAATCCGCCTCATGTACTTAATCCTTCTAATCCGCCTCATGTACTTAATCCTTCTAATCCGCCTCAAAATGTACTTAATCCTTCTAATCCGCCTCATGTACTTAATCCTTCTAATCCGCCTCATGTACTTAATCCTTCTAATCCGCCTCATGTACTTAATCCTTCTAATCCGCCTCATGTACTTAATCCTTCTAATCCGCCTCATGTACTTAATACTTCTAATCCGCCTCATGTACTTAATCCTTCTAATCCGCCTCATGTACTTAATCCTTCTAATCCGCCTCATGTACTTAATCCTTCTAATCCGCCTAATGTACTTAATCCTTCTAATCCGCCTCATGTACTTAATCCTTCTGGCTAGAAGGACGGAACATTTTGTTAACACAGTTTGTATCATCTATATCTTATGCTAAATTTGATTGGAAAAAAATACCCAAGACAGCTTTCGTAAAACAATCGTATTGAGATTGGACCTTACCAATGGGACATTGCTTACGAAATAGGATATTTACAGTTAGTATAACCGGAAGTGTGTCGATGAGCGTAAGGACAGTCTCTCTAGCGTGGGCAGCCTGAAATAAAGGAAGAAGAAGCAGATACACAATATTACGGAGTACAAAGGTCAATATATACTTGATGTCCATACTTACATTGTATATTGAAGATAGGATGAAGCTTTCAGGACGTATTTTAAAACCAGTTTGATATATTTTTCTACCTTTAAATAGAAATAAAACTAAATAGAAAAAATATACCGACATGTCATCTGTGTCTTGATTCTGTTGAAGTAAAAACTCATGCAAAAAGTACAATTTTAATAAGAAAATGCGTGAAGAAACCTGTAATCATATCAACAGAATGTAAACATAAAAAAATAAAAAATGAAAAAAAAATAGCACATGGATTTCATTACGTCAGGAACTGTGAATAAGATATGAAACTGTTGGCGATGTAGCAGTGATAAAAGGTCACTATAAGTCTTTGTCGAACATGCGTCGTTGGGAAATGACCACTCACGATTGGCCGGAATATTGATGACGTCTCCCCATGTGTGCTTTCATCAACACTTGACGATCATTTTCGATCTAGGTGTATATTGTTGAAGTTTAATCCCATTAACTTCCGGTTTGTGTGTTAAACGTGATTAAGTATAGTATTTTTATTATCGGACATTTACATTAATTAAGGCGATAAACACAAGGAAAGGATCGGTGAACACCTACACGTGTTTTGTTTGTTTGTTTTTTCTTTTATCTATAAAAAACTAGGAAGTGTATATTATGTGTACATATGTGTGTTAATATATCACATTCGTGTTTGCAATGTCCCCCGCCCTGAGTTCTTTGGATGTCTGGCAAGTTCTAGAAAGACCATTCAGCTAAAGTTTAATTTATTGTGTTGCTTTACTTACTGTATCTAATTCTACGTTTTTAAGGTGCTATTACCTTGTGTGTCTTTTGCCAATCAGCATGTATACCATGATTCCGTACTGACACACAATTCTGTTCGGAGTGATAAGTAATTAGGAAACGGGTATATTCCTATATTTATTTTAATTTTACTTAATCGCCTCATGTACTGTAACGTTTTTGACCTCTATCATTACTAACAAGACATAAAAAACGAAACATAGTTTAATTAATGAGTTAAGTGTTTCTGATGTAAAATCTTTTTTTTAAAGGTGTTATTTTCTTGTTGATCTTTTTTTTTACGATCCTTTGTAGCACGGTTAGATATAATGAAATCAACAAATATTGTCTCTTCCATATAATTGGAATGACAAAATTAAATGACAATTGAATTGTTTTAAAATGATTACCAATGGTTAAACTTACTCGCAATTCATACATAAACGTTTTGGAGTTAAAATAATCAGTATCTGATTTGAAATAACACATGTTTTTGTGACTTCATTTTCGTGATTCCAGTGGTGAAGATAACGATTTCTTCCTATCATTTCAACTAAATAAATCCCTTATGAAAGTTAATAAAGATACATTAACTGTTAAGTAGTGATGACGGAAGAAATTATTTTTTGTACCATGACCATTGCCATCTGTACAGGCACTGATCTTCACGGTAATGTCCGTGCTAGGTACACTTGTTTCAATTATGTGATGTTACAATCAAATTAAAATGATATACAAATGATAAGAATAACTTCCTCTCATAAGGGAAATTTATAGTAAACAAAGTGTATGTATCATCTATGATACTCTCCCACTTAACAAAACTAGACTGTATGTATCATCTATATTATTTTCCAATTCAAGGCTGATATAACAAACACTTAACCACAGGAGAATCAATGGCACCAACAAAATAGCAAGTGATGTTAGTGACAGCACGGCAGTTTAAAATTTAAAGAAGGAGGAAACAGCTGTAGGATGTAACATCATTGACGATTCATAGAAGGGTGTAACAGCTGTAGGATGTAACATCACAAACTAGTCATAGAAGGACAAAACAGTTGGAGGGTATAACATCACTGACGAGTTCTAGAAGGACAAAACAGTTGGAGGGTATAACATCACTGACGAGTTCTAGAAGGACAAAACAGTTGGAGGGTATAACATCACTGACGAGTCCTAGAAGGACGAAACAGTTGGAGGGTATAACATCACTGACGAGTCCTAGAAGGACGAAACAGTTGGAGGGTATAACATCACTGACGAGTCCTAGAAGGACGAAACAGCTGTATGATGTAGCCTCACTGACAAGTCCTAGAAGGACGAAACAGCTGTATGATGTAGCCTCACTGACAAGTCCTAGAAGGACGAAACAGCTGTATGATGTAATATCACTGACAAGTCCTAGAAGGAAGGAACAGTTGTATGGTGTACATCACTGACGAGTCCTAGAAGGACGAAACAGCTGTATGATGTAGCCTCACTGACAAGTCCTAGAAGGACGAAACAGTTGTATGGTGTAGCATCACTGACGAGTCCTAGAAGGAAGGAACAGTTGTATGGTGTAGCATCACTGACGAGTCCTAGAAGGAAGGAACAGTTGGAGGATGTATCTCAATGACGAGTTCTAGAGGGACGAAACAGCTGTATAATAAAATTTATTTGATTATTTGTCTCTAATTTAGCTGATTCTAGCCATTCACTGTAATTTTTGTACAATCTTCACACTGTCCAAAAATACAAACATGTTAACATCATCATAACTCAATTTTATTAATTCAATAAAACAAGGGCAAAATATGACCAAAGGGAAGATGTACTCGGAGACTCCTGGAAAAAACAACAATGAGAATAGAACCAAAATCATCTAGCAATGTAACTTACAGGCTTTTGACTCAGTAAATAATCCTTCGGTACAACTGTTTTTATGAGTCACAATTGCGTCTTAAGAGGGACACGGATGGGTGTTTATTTTCTAATCAATTTAAAATAAATATCTGCATCATCACTGCATCGATTAAGTATTGATCTATTAAGGTTACTGACCAGCGAGATGCAATGAGTCTTGTTTACCATTGAAAAACCGGATTTAAGGATGAACACTATATCAACACCTCAATCGGAGGTCAGGCGGAAGTTGATGTCACCCTTGGTTTGGTATAAGAGGACACTTGATCAATACCTCTGTCAGTTATAAGTGGATAACTGTAAGCGACGCTGGGTTTAGAAATAATCTAGTAAACTTTTAGTGGAAGGTATTTGGCTCATCATTTACATTACATGTAAGTCTTTCCTATCTTTTGATAAATTGAAGCATACATACAGAGGAAGGTTTGTAAAAGAATATATGTTATAATATATCTTATTGTGAAAAGGTTTTTTTTATTGAGTTCGAAAGTTACATTAAATTGAAATTGCAGACTAACATCTAGTTTTAACCAAGATTAACCAAGATTTTACACGGCGGGTGTTGTTGATGAATCAGACGTTTACTCTTCCGGAACACATGGTCTTATTCTCCTTGTTCTTTTTCAGGAGTATCAGTGTAAATCTTTATTTCGTTCATATTTTGCCCTAATTTTACTGATTTTGAACTTGGGTTTTGATCACACGTTGACATTTTCTTGTTGTATTTATACCGTTACAAAGTATTGAAGTATTTGTTTATAATATCTCAAGTGTGTTTCAGGTTTCATCTGTAAAGGAGAAATATGAACATTCCGCTCAGCGCACTTCGTCCGGGTTTCGTACCACCTAATTCTTCATCAAACGGAAGCACCTTCCTCATCCGTCGTGATTATTTATCCAAGCTAGAATGGCCGAACTTGGTCCATGTCATATACCCCGTCATAATACCGATGTTGCTAATTCTTGGCATCATCGGGAACTCGTTGACAATTGCTGTGTTGTGGCACAAAAAGATGCAGTCCTCGACAACAATCCTGTTGTTCCGAGCCCTCGTTATCACGGACATGGCGGTCACTTTGGTATGGTCACTGAATGCAGTTTCGGAATATTATCTTTTCCAGATACCGGAAGGTAATTCCTATTACCTGGACGTGTTATACCCGTGTATTTACATTGTTCTTCTCTATGTTATATACTTCTTTCGTGGAATCAACATCTGGATCACAATAACGCTTTGCGCTGAAAGGTTCATCTTCGTCTGCGTATTTCACAAAGCAAACGTTCTTTGTACCAAGAAAAGGGCCACTATTGTCCTTGCAATCATTGTAGTTTTCTTCTTCGTGTTCAGCATCCAGCAACTTATTGAATTTGAACCAGTTAGTTATCCATGCTACGGTGAACTGTGTTACATTAATTATTTAACTGTTGTTGGAAAAGCATTTTATGATTCAAAGGTACCATTTTGGTTAAACTTGCTAATGTACAACATTTTACCGACTCTTCTGCTTGGATCGCTTAGTATTCCTATTATATGTAAACTCTGTATAACATACCGGAAGCGTGTTAGGATGATGAGTACATCGCCAGGAACTCTTCAGAGCAAGGAGACGAATGTGACTATTGTGCTTCTTCTGATCGTTTTGTTTTCAGTGTTGTCCAACCTGAATGGTCCCTTCCTTGTGGCGGTATACGTGTACAATGTATACAAGGCCGGTTTCGTTGATCTTATCTGTGTATTTAACACCATCGTTATTCTCAACTCGTCCATAAATTTCATCATTTATGGTGTAGTTGGGATGAGATTTCGGAAAATCTTGATCAAGATATTGAAACAAGCATACTACAAAGTGCTTAGGAAAAATGCACCCGCCAAAGATAAATCTAGACCAATGAGAGACGAGAATGCTTCAAGCGACAACGGCTTGGAGTTGACATTAAACGACACTTCTGTTTACAAAGGGATTTAGGTCGGTGATAGTAAAATCAGCGCGACTACCTGTTACCACATTTTGTCTACAGTAAATTATTGGATATTATTCAGATAACACCTAATTCTGTTCCTTCTTCCATTACAACATTGGAATAAGATTGTACAACAGAAACACAAGTACATAACATATAATCATACAACTTTTGTGTTAGATACAGTAGAGCAAAAACAATGGATTTTACAACTGTTTCGTCCTTTTAGGACTCGTCAATGATGCTAAGCCTAAATTTTGATGCCAAGGAGTTGACTGTGGGTAATCCAAAGTGATCGAAAGAAAAGTCAAAATCTAGATGGAGTAAAACGTGACATGCATCTTATAGCAAACCTCGGGGACTAAAGGTCTCCAGCAGGGTCTCTCACCTGCAATTTTAAAGATTGTACATAACTCATAAAAGTGAATAATACATTTTAACACAAATTTATTAGAAGAGTTCCTTTTGTTAAAATAAATCATAATATCAAAGACTGTATAAAAGGCGCGCAAGTGAATATCACCTTTTCATGTATAAACTAATGGTACTAACATTGTATATTGTTTATTGTGTATTTTTGTTAGTTATATTCTAACTCAACCTTTCGTTGATAATTAGTAACTTATTCTCAGTGTTTTAATGTTTGGTGAGTATAGGTTAGTTTAACAGAATGGTCCAGGTGTAAAGTGTTGGTGGTTGGACCATAATTCTAGATCGTTACCTTTAAACATTTTTTTCTAATACGTATTGAATTATACCATGGAAAATATGACCTTAATTAATGTCTAAAAAAATGAAGTTTATAAAATGGTCGGTTATATCATGGAGACCGTATACCGCAGTTTAAAGTAAATTTGATAATAGATTAACATAAACATTATATCCCGGAAATGAATAATTTACTGGGAAGGGAAAACATGACGCACTTATTGATTCCTCTCATTATATCCATAATAAACACTCATGGCCCAATATTCCTGTCAGTATGGAGGAGCAAGTGTACCGTAAGTGTATTAATTCAGTTAAAATATTTCTAAATTTTACAGATCAGATTATTTTGTATTTTGAATTATATACCAAATTAAGTAAGAGTTATCTCCCTTCTAAGGTTTCTCTGTGTATATATCTGTATGTGTGTGTCAGGGTGTGTATGGGAGAGAGGGTGTGTATGTGCGTGTGAGGGTGTGTGTATATATGTATGTCTATATGTGTGTTTGTATGTATGTATCCACTGTAAGTTACTGTATGTTATACATGTACATGTAAGTATGTAGGTTTGTGAGTGTGAAAGAGAGGGAGTATGTATGTGTGTTTGAATCTGATCAGTGTAACTGTAATTAACCACCTGTGTTGTCCCAGGAGAAGACTTATATAGGCACTAGCCTGCTGTCTAATCCTATTAATACTTTGTATTAATAAAATGTTTTGAAATGAAATAAACTTCCGATATAATCTGCACGTTCTGTAAAGTCCTTGATACATGATAAACAAATTGTCTCACAAGCACTTAGTACTTGTTCGGTTTATAAAATACGGTGTCAAATATTTTATACGGTGTAGATTATTTATGTCATGAGGCTCCAAGTTATCATACTGATTGATAACATTAAAATTGCCTTTACAAAGCCAAATTATCATTTTTAATTGTGCACATGGCAATAAGACATTGACACAAAATAAAAACAATATATTTCTACATATTTCTTCCAGGTTATATAGTATAAGCATATTTCATTTGACAACTGCTGAATGAAATAGAAAGAATGTATGACATTTTACAATGTTACTGGACTCGAGAGTAAATGTAGGTAGACATCATAACAATGGAATAAAATACATTCGGAAATGATATAAGATATTAAGTATATAAAATACTGTATGTGGGAAATAATATAAAGAAATATGACACAATCTATGTGGGAAATAATGTAAAGAAATATGATACACTCTATGAGGGAAATAATGTAAAGAAATATGACACAATCTATGCGGGGAAATAATATAAAGAAATATGACACAATCTATGTGGGAAATAATGTAAAGAAATATGATACACTCTATGTGGGAAATAATGAAAAGAAATATGATACACTCTTTGCGGGGAAATAATGAAAAGAAATATGATACACTCTATGCGGGGAAATAATGAAAAGAAATATGATACACTCTATGCGGGGAAATAATGAAAAGAAATATGATACACTTAATGTGGGAAATAATGTAAAGAAATATGATACACTTAATGTGGGAAATAGTGTAAAGAAATATGATACACTTAATGTGGGAAATAATGTAAAGAAATATGATACACTTAATGTGGGAAATAGTGTAAAGAAATATGATACACTCTATGCGGGGAAATAATGAAAAGAAATATGATACACTCTATGCGGGGAAATAGTGTAAAGAAATATGATACACTTAATGTGGGAAATAGTGTAAAGAAATATGATACACTTAATGTGGGAAATAGTGTAAAGAAATATGATACACTTAATGTGGGAAATAGTGTAAAGAAATATGATACACTTAATGTGGGAAATAGTGTAAAGAAATATGATACACTTAATGTGGGAAATAGTGTAAAGAAATATGATATAATAATATACCCTTTAGGTGGGTTTGATAAGGACGTTTTTATATAGCATGATAGTATTTGGTAAACGTAAAGATATAGATTTATAAAGGTCAATAATTTCCGCAACCATTCAAGCAACTTACATATTACACAGTAAACTGTACATTTTCATATTACTTGTTTATATTACCGGAAAACCTTTTAAAATGAGTTACAATATTTTTTATTACTGTCTATTGCGATTGAGCGCAATATGCAAATGACAAATATCACTCTGTACCTCTTGCTTCCTGCAAAAAGCCATTACAAAAATTTTACAAAATCTTAACAAAATTGACCCCTGTGACCTCGGAAGTAGGTCAATGTAATTCATAGTATCAAAGCTGGTAGCTATTGACCTAGACATTTTACGTATGCAATAACAAAGTTTTAGACACTGTGGAACTTTTTAAAGTTTGTTACCAAAATTAGCAATTTTTAAACCACTACCGAGAACCGGAAATTGAATTTTCAGACAAGGTTTTATTAAACATTCAATAACAATTGATCACAGTATGCTACTGGCGACATTTCATCTCTGTGTACATTTTAGTTATCGAGAAAATACTTTTTAAATACTTTCATATAATTGAACCCTGTGACCTTGAAAATGAGTCAAGGTAATTCATAATATCGAACTTGAAAGTCAATGACAAGAGCTTACTCAAAATGAAATATCAAGAATCTCGATCTTTGTTACCTAAAATAGCAATTTTCAACGTTCATCACTACCGAGAACAGGAAGTTGAATGTTCAGACTAGGTTTTATTAATACATTCAATAGCAATAGACATACACTGTAATTTCATCATCATGAGCATCTTGGTTACTGAGAACATAGTATTTAAAACCTTTGACAAAATTGACCTTTGTGACCTTGAAAGTTGGTCAAGATCATTTATACTTAATAGCCAATAACCTAAAGATATTGAATTAAAATATCTAGCCTCTTGGCATTGTAGAATTTCAGCAATTTTTTTATATAGTCTGTTTCACAATATTTCCAATTTGAAATTTGACCCCTAACTAAAACCGGAAGTTGACATTTTACAAACACATGTGTCCTGAATTATGTTATTATTTGATATCTTACATAATATATCCAAATATGAATTACATGCTTTCAACCGTTAATGAGATTTTGCAATTACCGGAAGAATTGGATTCGGATTTTAAAAGATTAATGAAAATTTTCAAAATGGCGTCAATAGCAATAGCAATTGCTACAGAAACACTTAAGACATTAAGTTCATCGGAATGACATTCTACATCAATCTGTCAAAGAAATTTTCAAAATAGACAAAAAAATAAATTGCGACCTTTGACCCAACATCGAGGTTATTTTATTTGACATACTTTCTATTAACAATTATTGGGAAAATAGATGTGAAACTTATCTACAAATTTAACGAGCTCAATTTTCGAGATACCACTTAATGTTTTTAACATATGACGTCATGGCGGCCATATTTGGATTTATGACCTACTTTAAAATGTTACAAGTACATCTCCAGATATGTATCTACAAAGCACTAAATAGACTTTGAAACATGTGTCTTACTGATCAAATTTCGGAATAATACTAATAAGAAATATGACAATAGGTTATGAGAGGATGAAAATAACAAACACCTGATATATAACTTTTTTCCGAAACTTATAAAAGATCATGGACAGGAGATAATTGATTTAGAAGAGATTATTCAAGAACAGAAACATTACTACGAAAAATTATATACAAATAATACAGCAGAAGGAAATCAGCATATGTTTTTTGATGATACAAATCCATTCATAAAAAAATTGTCTGTCACACAAATTGATGAATAAGAAGGTAAATTAGAATACAGAGAGTGTCTCTTCTCAGTAAAAAGTATGAAGAACAATAAATCGCCTGGTATTGATGGATACACTGCAGAGTTCTATAAATTTAGGATAAAGAAAGTTTTAGATACTCTTACTAGTGATACACAGAAAGGCTTTATAAAAGGTAGATATATAGGAGAGTGCACTGGATTGGTTGCAGACATAATAGAAAATACTGGAAAAAGTAATATTCCAGGACTTCTTTTATTGATTGACTTTGAAAAAGTTTTCGATTCTTTAGATTTTATTTTTCATTCTTTACAGTTTTATGGTTTTGGGCCTTCAATTATTCAATGGATTAAAGCTCTGTATAAAAACAGTTCTTGTTGTATTTCAAACAATGGGAATTGTTCAGAATTTTTCGATGTACAGCGTGGGATAAGGCAGGGCAACCCTTTGAGTCCCTATATATTTATTTTATGTGTAGAACTACTAAGTTCAGCTTTAAAAATTAATCCAGATATGAATGGCATTACTATTAATAACTCCGAATATTTAATAAACCAAATTGCAGATGATACATCTTTTACACTCTTAGATGATCCAGTGTCCCTTGAAACAGTATTAAATATTTTGGAAGATTTTGGAAAAGTATCAGGACTTAAAATAAATTCTGAAAAAACTCAGGCAATTTGGATTGGGGCAAAATGGGGTTTTGGGTTGGAACTTTTACATGAAAGAAATTTATCATGGAATCACCAAGGTATTTTTAAACTCCTTGGTATTAAATATAATTTTCAAAAAATGAACATATTTGAAGATAACTACATTGAAAAATCAAAAGCAGTTCAAAAATTATTGAAATATTGGTCTTTTAGAAATTTATCTTACATTGGAAGAGTAGCAATCATTCGAACTCTAGCATTGTCTATTTTTATTCAGACATGTACTGTCCTTCTGGACCCACCTTCATATATTACAAATGAACTACAAAAATGTTTTTTTGTTTTTGTTTTTGTGGGATGGAAAGCCAGACAAAATAAAGAGAAATATTATGTATAGTGACTATGGAAATGAGGGATTGTGTCTTCCACAAGTTTTAAGTTTTTGTCATTCTCTCAAGATGTCTTGGATAAAAAAATCATTGATCAATTGAAACAATCAGCATGGAAAATACTACTCATAGATGAATTGGATGGTGTTGGAGGTGATAATATTTTTAAAATGACCAAAGTAGGATTAACAGAATTATCAAAGCATTTTAATACTTTCTGGAGAGAGGTGTTTACCGCTTGGGCTTCTATACAAGGAAATGTGTCCCCCCACAACCCCTGAAGAGGTGGTATCACAGCCTATCTTTTTTAATAGTTTCATTAAAAGAGACAAAAGATAGTTTTTTATAAACAGTGGTGTAAAAAGGGCATATTTTTTGTTTCTGACTACCTAGAAAACAATATACTTATGTCTTATGATAATTCCTCTATTAACTATAACATTAATGTAAATTATTTAGATTACAATGGCGTTATTAATGCCATACCAAGAAATTGGAAAGTAATTCTGCAGAATGTAAATGTTGATACACCTACTGTTGAATATAAATTAATCAATTACCTTACTACACATGATAAAGTAACTAAATATTTTTATCATATTTTTATTCATTTATTTTCTGAAAAGCCAATAAGTAGTCAAAGAAAATGGCAAGAAATTCTCACTACTGATATCAGCGAAGAAACTTGGGAACTGATTAATCTCATGCCAAGGGAGGTAACTGATGATACAAAACTTATAAACTTTCAGTATAAAATAATACACAATATGTTGTATACTAATACAAAGTTAATGAAATGTAAACAAACAGAAACTGAAAGATGTCCTTTCTGTATAAATGAGAGGGAAACTATTATTCACTTGTTCTGGGAATGTAGTGTGGTCAAAACATTTTGGCTTTTGTTGATGGAAATGCTAGAAAACAAATACCAAATAACCTTACTTAGGCATCCAAAAATCTTTATTTT